CTCACCAAGAATTTTTTGGTGAATGGGTCCCAAAGAAGCCACCCCTTGCTGTTTTGAGCCATGCCCAAGTGCACAGCCCATATCGCCTTGGCACCGAGCTTGTTGTGCCGAAGATGCTTAGGCATGAGCGTTATGCACATGCACCCGAACACCCGAAGCATATCCACCTTTGGCTTCCTTCCAATCCACTCCACATAGGGCACCCATTTGTCTGCTCCCACATGAGTCAAAGCTATGTTCTTGGCCACACATGCACTCCGCACCGCATCAGGCCAGAAATAGTCGGGTAGCCCGGCTTCAATGAGCAACTGGCGCGCCGTCTCCGTGATTGTGCGGTTCGCTCGCCCGGCGATGCCGTTCATTGCAGGGGAGTATGGCATGGTAAGGGAGTGCCTAATGCCATTCTTCTTTAGCCACAATGAGAACTCCTTGCTCATGAACTCTCCCCCTCGATCGGTGCGAATTGCCTTCACTAACCGGTCGCTCCACCATCGGCAACCAATCGGTCTTCACCGTTTCAGCCATGTCACTCTTCTTGGACAGCACGTACACCCAAGTCATGCGAGTGTAGATGTCCACAATGGTGAGAAAGTACTCAGCTCCAACAGCTCCAGGCTTCAGGGGGCCCACCACGTCCATCACCACCTCATCAAGTGGTGCCTTAGCCGTTGCCTCCAAACTAGAGAACGGGTAACGGGTGAACTTGGCTTGCATGCACGTCGGGCAGCCAAGTACCTCATCGGGCTCCCCCTTCACACGTATGCCAGCAACCATCTCATTCTTCACTAGCTGCTGCAAGATGGGCAGGGCCACATGCCCCATTTGCCGATGCAAGGTGAGCCAATCACACTCCCCCGTAGCCGAAGTCGGATTGGAGAATGCCGCACTCGCAATAGTGCCCCACATGTTCTCTCCGTACTCCTCCTCCGCTGCTGCCTTGGGGTTCTCCTCATCCTTGTGCTGCTTCTTGGATGCTGAACCACTCTCATCATGTTCACCAAGCTTGCTGGTCCCTCCAAGATTGCACTTCTTGGACTTAATCTCCTTAGCGCGACCATTCGCGCCATCGCCGCTACCAACCGCTTCACCCTTGGTGCTGATGCTTGCTGCCACTTGCCGCTCCTTAGGCATGGGGACCACAGGGATCTCCCACATCTCGTTGTAGACATCCCTAACTTCGTGAAGATCCCAAAGAATCCGCTCGCCAAGCCTCGCGGTGTAGGTCTTAGCTCCCTTCGAGCTCGTGTCCATGCCGGCCTTTTGCAACCGCCGCACGGAAATCAGGTTTGCAGCAAGGTTGGGCACCCAAAGCACGTTCTTGAGGCCCACCATCTTCCCATCAGCACCCTTGAACATGGCCTTGCCCATGCCTTTCACCTCTGCTCGCTGCCCCAAAGCCGATGTCAGATGCTTCACCGGTGACGGCTCAAGTTCGGTGAGCAAGTCCGCACGAGGTGTCATGCTATAGGTAGCGCCGCTATCGATCACCCAATAGTCCAAGGAGTGTAGGGTGACCTTCCCCATAGCTGCTGGCTCCTCAAAGCCTTCATCCTTCTCTGGACCAGCCGGTGCTTGCGTGGATACGAAGAAGAATTGACCCGGAAAGCGATCGTCCCTCGACTCGCTCTCGTTGCCGGCACTCTTCATGTTTGCAGCTCCACCTCCGCGACCGCCACGGCCTCCACGGCCTCTTCCTCTCCCTCCTCCTGCTCCTCTACCCTCTTGGCCTTGAGCAGGGGTCCATCCATCAGGGAGCTTGAAGCAATCGCGCCACATATGTCCGCTCTTTTGACAATAGTGGCACTCGCCGTCGAATCTGCCTCGACCGCGTCCATAGCTCTTGTTATCGCTGCCGTATCCGCCACTCCCGCGGCCTCCATTGAAGTTGTTGCTGCCAAATCTGCCTCCCCCTCGTCCTCTGCCCCTTCCACGGCCATACCCTCGGCCGATGCTTGCTGCCCCGGCGCCATCCGCACTCGCCAACTCACGGCGGCGTAAGTCCTCTTGAAGGATCGCTCGCTTCACGTCTTCAAGCGAGAGGCGGGGCAAGTCACGATTGAGGTTGATGATGAGCGAGGACTATGACTCTGGGAGTAAGGCCAGCAACTTGGTCTTCTTTTGGAGCTCACTGTAGTTTAAATCAGCTCCCTCAAGCCGCGTCAACAAGTCAAAGAATTTCTGCACCCCTTCTTCAACCGCTTCGTCTTCTTCAATTCATAGTGCCGCCATTTGCCGTTCCAACACCACCGCTACCGCCGCTGTTGCAGGAGCGTGTACACCCTTGAGAGCAGCCCATGCCTTTGGTCCCTTCTTCGGTTCACGCTGGAATGGCTTGATGTGACGGATCTGGCTGCTCCCCAATGCTTGCCCAAGTAGGAGATAGCCTTGTGCGCTCTTCCGCACCCACGGGCTCTTCTCCGGGTCATTCTCGGGGCGCTTCTCCGTTCCTTCCATCACCTCCAGCAGGTCATAGTGGTCAAACACATTCTCCATTCTGAAGGACCATCCAGCGAAGTTGTCGCCATTGAACTTGTCAAGCCCAAACACCCTAGGCTCATCCCTAGGTGGGCCAAGACTTGGTTGCATGGGCGCCATGGCTGAATCACGGGGTTGGCCTTGAGCTTGGGCTTCTCCACTGCCACCAGCACCTTTGCCACCCCTTTCCTCAGGTCCAGACATTGTCAAAACTGCTCCAAGGGGCTCTGATACCACTTGTTATAGTTACAATAGCCTTGAATGTGCCTAAAACGAAAGATAGAGTGCACAGTCGGATTTCTGCACAGCGGCTTCAAGCGTTGATAGCGTTCTGCTCACAGCTTGGAATGACTTGCTATAAATTGGATCTGGAGCATCTTGATGTCGCCTACACGAGGCAAGTTGAATCCCTGATTTCATCAAGAATTGACGACGCAACGTTGGTTTGAACGAACGGCACTATGGCAGCCACTATAGACTTAGAACACAAAAGTAGGAAGAGTTACAAGTTGGGAATGACTTCTAGCTCCTACAAACCCCAAGAGCCGAGATACAGTGATGTGGAACAGTGCCACACTATCCCCAACCACGAAGGGTCTCGAAACTACCCTCCACAAGGGCCTACACCAAGAGAAATGTTACACTACACAAAGTAATGCAACTATTCTCACTATCTTGAAGTTTACCCTTTTGGAGAGCTTCGAAATCACTTGAATATTGAAACCAATGCTCTGGTTCTTCAAGATAAAATCTTCCTTGAGTTCTTGGAATTCTGCTGCGCACACCTGCGACATGCCGAACGTTCCACACACGACAAAATAGAAAACGCACACGACACGCAAACAACGACGTGACACGCGACTAGCGATAACTCGCTATTGACTCGACACACACATTCAAAACCATGCCTCATCATTCACACAATATTATAAGCATGAAATATATATGATCTCATGCCCTCATACCATTCCATGCACACACGCATGCACGCAGACGGACAACAAGCCGAATGCAAACCATAGGGTTGCACCAACAGGCAATGGGGTCGGCGCGGTATTGCGTCTGCATGGTATTGCGTCTGCACCTCCTCCCCAGCTGCAGCAGTAGGCTTTTTTTTTTTTTTTTTTTTCTGTTACAGTGCTGTTAGAATCAATGCAGCAGAATGATGGTGCAGTAGCATGAGTGAGGATTACAAGTAGAGCTAACCCTAATGGGTTGTACTCAATACAGTCTACCCCACTACAGCCTACACAATTTATAAGTTATCCTGCCATGTTTGAGGCCAGATTTCGTCTTTCCAACGTTTGTATTTCTGCACAACTAGGCAAAATTGCTTTCAGAACACCCTTCGATAAAAGGCTGTTGATTCAGAGTAACGTTGGAAAAAGAACGCTGGAAATTCAGAGTTGGTACAAAATTCAGAGCTGAAAAATCAGCCTGCACTTGAAAATGCTGAAGATTGAACCTTTTTCTGGGCAAGTAGCGTAAAAATACTATCTTTTGGGGGCATGGCTACACTAAAAGCTTTGATTTTTGCGGGTCTTGGCTTGGTGACTGCCGTACGCATCTATAGATTCGGCGAGCAACATTTTCGCTAACTTTGTTCAGTTGGAGATGATTGACCTTCCAAATGTGCAACTGTTCCACAATACCGTATCGCCCCGGATATAAGCGCATGCATATTAAAAGCGCATGCGCTTATATCTGGAGCAATGCGCTTATGGCCGATCCTCAATTATAAGCGCACCCCCTGTAAAACCCTGTTTTATTATAAGCGCATGCATAATTTTTTATTTTAAATCTGTTAAACACAGTAACGAGTTTCAAAATTGAAGCGAGCATAATTTCTTAATCGCTTCGTTTGACTCGCGAAGACCTCAGAAGCTGCGCGTCAGGTCAATATGTGCTGGCATAGGGGCAAACTGACGTGTCTTTGTCCATGTGTGTTGGAAAAAAATCGGTAGCGCGCGATTCTGATTCCTGGCGCTATAAAATTTCGCCTCGATCGGAATGGTACCACTGAGATATACATTTTGATGCTATAAAATTATATATCTGTATCTGTCATTATATAAGCGCATGCGCTTATAAAAATGACTAAATTAGAAGCGCACCCCCCTAAAAAACTCCGCTTTATTATAAGCACAGGTGCGCTTCTATCCGGGGTAATACGGTAGCTAGGTTTTGCAATGTAGCAAGGTTAGGCTGTAGGTGAACATGTTATTTCATCTATACATTGACACGCTGCCGCGAATGTGCTTTGATGCCGGTAGTCTAATTCGTAATGGTCTTTTAATGTGTCTCACTGCTCACACACACACACACACACGGAACATTTAGTGCCCACCAAAAACAAGCTAGCAAATCAGCATGTCATCATCCTGGTCTCTTTCTCATTCGTTTTGCCTAACTCGTCGCAGCACACATTCAAGTTGGACCCACGTCCCTATTTCAGCCTCTCGCATTAAGCAGAGTGAATTGCTTTAATCACCATAATCACTGGACGTTGGCACTGCCTGAACACCTCAAGCACTTGAGTGGTCACCAAACGAGTCCCCTTCCAGGATTTTGTCAATGCACTGCAGATGAGCATCCGCAGAAGTCAAGCCCTTAATCTCTCGAGCCCGGTCATCCACTTTAGCTGCTGCAACTGGCTCCTCCTTCCCCACCACCTCGTCCCTGATCTTCTGCAGCTCGTTGGCCATGCCTGCCATGTTGGGTCGGCTTGCAGTGCGCTCCACAGTGCAGCTGAGAGCCAACTGGGCTAGGCGCAGCACAGCATCATCCGGGGCGTCCATGCTCAGGTCGTTGAGGGAGGCCGGATTGTCGGAGGAGATGCACCCCTCTACCTGCAGTCAGCACAGGGATGTGGGTGAGGGTTAGAGACACATGCAGTGATGTGATATACATGCAGGGACGCACATGCTCAGGTCCTTGAGGGGGGCCGGACCAGAGGAGATGCACTGTTCCGCTTGCAGAGTCGATCAATGGAGGGGAAGGCAGGCAACAAGAAACTTGAAGAATGGAGATGGAATATTTAGTGTCAGACACCTGAGATTGACCCAGTGACCATGCGCTATGCTTGAGGGAGTGAGTATGAAGTTGGGAGTGAATATGAAATAGGGAGTGGGTATGAAGTAGGGAGTGGATATGAAGTGGGGAGTGGGTATGAAGTGGGAAGTGGGTATGAAGTAGGGAGTGGGTATGAAGTAGGGAGTGGGTATAAAGTAGGGAGTGGGTATGAAGTGGGGAGTGGGTATGAAGTGGTAAGTGGGTATAAATTGAGGAGTGGATATGATTTGGGGAGTTGGTATGAAGCAAGGAGTGGGTATAAAGTAGGGAGTGGGTATGAAGTGGGGTGTGAGAATGAAGTGGGGAGTGGGTATGAAGTGGGGTGTGGGAATGAAGTGGGGAGTGGGTATGAAGTGGGTGGGGAGTGCCTTTTGATGAGTCCGTGTGACATGTGAGGGGCGCCGTTCATGAAGCGGACTCAAGATAGGCGGGGGTAATGGACGGCAAGCCTCTAGTGGAAAATATGAAGGCGCAGATAGGATCAAGCTACGAGTGCAACCAAGATTGACAGGGTCACCAAGACAAGGTTCGGAACTGACCATTTTCATTTCTTCCAGTTGCTGTCTAGCTATCTGTTTAAGCAGCTTCTTTGACAGTGCCATGTACCAGTCATGGCATCTGTGCCACCCAGTCATGGCATGTGCGCCAGTCATGCCATGTGCGCCAGTCATGCCATGTGCGCCAGTCGTGCCATGTGCGCCAGTCATGCCATGTGCGCCAGTCGTGCCATGTGCGCCAGTCATGCAATGTGCGCCGCGCCAGTCATGCCATGTGCGCCAGTCATGCCATGTGCGCCAGTCATGCCATGTGCGCCAGTCATGCCATGTGTGCCAGTCATGCCGTGGCATTGCTTCTATTGCAGAACGGCTTACCCATTTCAGAATATGGACGTTTTCTCCATCATCAGTGCCGAAGGGGCTTCGGCCAGTGAGCACCACGAGCATAAGCACACCAAAGCTGCATACACCGACACATGGTGAAGGGATTGACAGCATCAGGTGCAGCGGAGTTATGCACCTCCCACCCCAACATTCGTATAACAGGCTGCTTCGAGGAGTCAGCACCACGAGGATGGGCACACCCAAGCTGCCACCACAGCAGGATGTGGATAGCAGTTGGGGTGGTGTGTGTATCACACACGAGCACACCAATACGATGGCCATGATCCATATGCGTTTGGATAGATGCATCAACAGAATCATCAATACATGATAGGATATGCAACGCACAAGCATTCTCACCCAATCCCCGAAGTCAACAGCTAGATCAAATATTGTGAATGCAAGCTCACCTATAAACATCGTTGGCCCTGGAAACCTTTGGGTTCAGTGAGTAGATGAGATCCACATGGCCCAGTATTCCTACTATCATATTGGTTGAATTCAAACAAAAAATGACCTACTAAGCGGTTCGTAGTCCCAAATCACTCGACGACAGGAATATATCACCTGTATACATCAGTGGATCTGGTTGCCTTGGAGGTTTGTGAATAGATGGGATCCACATAGCCCGGTGTTCCCATCACTCGAGTCGTGCCCACTGTTGTGCCCTCCTCCATCCTCACAAGCCCAAAGTCCGCAATATTGGCCTGATGGATGGCATGAGCAAGAAAATTAGCAAAAGGCATAAATGAACGGAAGTCAAAGAGCAACTGTTCTTGTACCTGGTCTGGTGGTACACGTTTGGATGGAGAAACTTACAGCAAATCTCTGACGGGATTGATCACAACCTAATGACTGACAGCTTTAAACAGACATTCATGTTGAGTGTTACACGTAAAATCCAAGGTCACGCTAAAGATTGAAAGTCATTGCCGTATCATCCGGCTTGGATTATCCATGCTCCTTGTGATTGTTGTTTTCTGTGATAAAGAAAGACGTCGCGCAGAGAGAAGGAAGCTGCCTGGCGCAGAAAGGGAGAATTGCCCATCTCAGAAAGCGGAAAGCTACATTGCGCAAAGCTTGCCTGCATGTTTGTCCCAAGAAGGATGTTGGCGGGTTTGATGTCGCGATGCACAAGGCCAAAGCTGTGGAGATACGCCAAGCCACGTGCCGCACCAATGAGGATGTCCAGCCGCTGCATCAAGATGAGCGGAAAGGGTGCCTCTGCAAAGAGACATACACAAGAATGCTTGAGTTTCGGTGGAATCATACAAGGAAGTCAGGCAGGAAAGAGCATGGTCAGAATCAGAAATTCACTTCACGTACTTTCACTCATCCACATCTTGAGGTCACCGTTGGGAACAAACTCGTAGATCAGGACTTGCTCTGGCCGTGTCCGCATGTCCCCTCCAATGGAGAACCCAAGCAGCCGCACGATGTTAGGATGATTCTTTTCAGCCATTTGTCGCACCTGCAAGAGGAGCATGCCATGATGAGTTGGGGTCAAAACTCCTTCTCTAAAAGATCTCGACATAACCTCTCTTTCAACTGCTTTTGAGAATTCTCAAAAGTCACTCTAAAAGATCTCGACATAACCTCTCTTTCAACTGCTTTTGAGAATTCTCAAAAGTCACTCTAAAAGATCTCGACATAACCTCTCTTTCAACTGCTCAACTGTACTGGCTGGAATATAGTCAAGGAATGGCAGAGCCGAGGACACTCACCTGTAAGATTTATTCTGCAATTCATTGCTCACCTGAGCACGCCACTGCTCAAAGCACGCCACTGCTCACCTCTCGCTGAAAGTCGGCTTCAAGCAGTTTGGCTCGCTTGACGGCCCACAGTGTGGTGCCATCGCGCGGAGACACGCCCTTGTACACGTCACCAAATGCGCCCGACCTCAGCTGGTTGTCACTCGCCCAGTTGCTGGTGGCTGTGAGCACTTCCTCCAGGGAGTACTCCGTGCAGTGAGAGGCCGCCACACTGCCTGCCAGACCTGCTCGCTCATGGGGTGAGGGAATTGGTTTCACAGAGCACGTGCAATGATTGCTCGTTGGATGAGTAAGGGAAGGTGCACGGCGCATGGGATGAGGGAAATTACACATAGGCATGCACGGGTTTCATCGTCGGGGCTGTGCGAGCTGTCCATCGCTGCTGGTTCTGGTATCTAATGCATTGTGATAGCTGCTGGTTCTGGTATCTAATGCATTGTGCTAGCTGCTGGTTCTGGTATCTAATGCATTGTGCTAGCTGCTGGTTCTGGTATCTAGTGCATTGTGCTGCCGAAATGCTTGTGAGTGCAAGGAAATTCTGCTTGTAAGTGAGGGAATGAGGGGGGAGGGGGAGGTAGGAAAGGGGAAGACACATGATCACACCTTCAGAATCTGTCTTTACTTGCAGTACTGCATCCTCGCCCCCGTCTGCTGTTGCTGATTTCTGTGCTGTCTCTCTTTCTTTCTTGTACCGCCTCCAGCATAGCAGCATGCCAATCAGCAGAACCATCAGGGAAGCCACAGCAGCCACGGCAATGCCAGCAATGGCTGCTGCTGACAGGCCGCCAGAATCAGAGGTGGACGTTGAAGGTGGAGGGGGGGATGCTGGGGAGGCAGTGGGGGGGGGTGGGGACGCTGTAGTGCTCCCTGGAGATGGGGAGGGGGGCGCTGAAGAAGGCAAGAGGGGAGATGGACATGGGAGGGGAAGGGATAAGAGCAGATGCAAACAAGGGGGAGATACCCTCAGAAACGTCTTGTAGTGAAGAGAGAACACCTTCATAATTGGTCTAGCACACGATTTTTGTGTCGATTCATAATGGTTCCGTGCAATCCAAGAAGATTAGCGGTTGAGTTGCTCTGGCATGTTGAGTCGTGCATGAAGAATGGAGATGGGGTACGGTCCGAGGGGATGGATGGAGTGAACACTGAAACTGATTTTGAGGCGCCTCAAAGGTCGCACTGAAGCTGCTTTTCAGGCGCCTCAGAATTCCCTACTGAAACTTCTTTAGAGCACCTTAAAAGTCGCAGTGAAACTGAAACTGAACATTTGAAGGGAAAACAACTGTTGGAAGAGGAAGATCTGAGCGGAGGTTTTAGGCTCACGAGGTGCGGGCTTGATGCAGGTGGTGCAGAAGGAGGGGCACTGGCGGCAAAAGGCACTCTGAAGTCGTTGCTGCGCCACGCATGGGGCGTTGTCAGAAGGGCATGTGAGTCCACTTCCATTCAAATTCCTGTGCGCGCACAAGGAGGGGAGCACAATATCCATGTAAATTATTCATTTCAGGGACCTACAAGCACAAGACCTACTTAGCCCTTTCTTATAAGAGATTCCTCTCATGGGGCTACAAGCACAGGACACTCTTCAGAGTTCTTACACACACACACACACACACACACACACATACACACACACACACACTTGATTCAATGCAATTCTCTCATGCAGGTTTTGTTAGAATACAGAAATGGCGATGTCAAATTGGAGATGCAGAAAAGTAAAATCGAGACAAGTTTATAATTCAGAAAATGGATGCTGGATTGTGCTGGACAGTGGACACACCAACCAGATAACTAGCTGGTTCAAATCTGCATGTTAAATTGGTGGTCAGCATACCTCCACACCCTCTATGACAGAACCGATAACCCTTTGAGGGTCTCTCCTCCAGCAGAGGGCTTATAGCCACCGAAATTAGCTATGGCTCATACATGATCAGCTGGAACTTGGAAAACACGATCACTCATAGGAAAATGGTGTTTACAAGATAGAAAGCTGTGTGAGGTTGCCAATGGACTCTGGGATGTTCCCTGTCAGACTGTTGCTCGTGAGATATCTGACAAAACGACAACACAGTGCATGGGCAGGGGTAACACATTATGGAATTGAGGGAGACACAATAATAAAGCGTTTAAGTCTAACCAAGAAGCTAAAGCAGGGAAAAAACAACTCCGTGAGACTATCCTTGATGAGCAATAGATGACATACAATTCTTTCAAGTTAGTGAGGCGTGCGAATGATTGTGGCATGGAGCCTGACAGTGAATTTGATGAGAGATTCCTGCATTGGTTAACAATCAAAGTGAATGATAAAAAGAAAAGTAAGTTGAGTTGTTGAGCTAAGACAACAATCACAGGGTCAGGAGGGATTGATTGAGAGGAAGGGTGATCAAATTATGCATTGTGACAAGAGTGGTTCGGTTTGCACTACCAAAAGCACAAGATAGGAGAACACAAACTTCTGTGAGTGTATGACATGGTTTCTCGACAGAATATGCTATTGTCTTAACGTGATGTGAAAAGTTTTAGATAGACCCTGTAAAGAGAAAGCGTACATGTTGGTAAGAAATTGAAGGCTGCCGACTGTTGCTGGTATCGTTCCTGTCAGTTTGTTTCCGTCGAGATACCTCAAATCATGAATGTGAGGTGGGGATGAAGAGGAATGGCGAAGGTTCAAACGGGATCGAAAGCAACAAAAGTAAGCATACCATAGTATGAATTAGGGCAGAGAAGTACCAAACTGCAAAAGCTTTTGACCCTTAGAAGGTTCTACTAGAAGACATGAGCAACGAGCGAACCGAACACGTTTGTCTCGAACAGTTTGCGAACACTTGGTCAATTCGAACCGAACCAAACACGTTTGACTCGAACAGTTTTCCTAAATGTTAGTGTTCCCCGTTCGAGTATAGGGTCGAACAGTTTTGAGCCAAGGCCGAACACTAAGGTGTTTGACCCGAACTCGAACAGTTTGCTTTGGGGGGTTCTTTCAGTATAGACACATTAAGGCAGGGCGAGTGTACTAGAAGCAATATCACGTTTCCTATAGCCCTACAAGAGATATATCTAGGCTTGGCGCAGATCTGGTGGATATCCAATTTCGCCTTGCTAAACTCCAACCTAAACCGAAATGCCCTTAGTACCTATTTTTAACCGTCTCCTACCCTAATCCAACCTTATACCTAACGTTTCCAGCCACAATGTGGAATTTTGATCGTGGGAATGTGGTAGTTTTAGTGGGTAGGGGGCGGAATGTCATCCTTAGGCTATATCGACGATTGAGCTCATTCTTGAGCTCAATCGTTGCCCTCCCCTTTTAGATCCAACCAGCGTGTCATACTTTGACACGCTGAATTTTCCCTCGAACGCCTAGGTGTTCGAAACGAACACATTGTGTTCTCGAACACCTTGGAGTTCATGCATTTTTCTGCACTCGAACACTCGAACAGTCGAACGTGTTCGTGACGAACACCTTGGTGTTCGTCACGAACCATTTTGGGCAAAAAAAACAGTCGAACACGTTCGAGTCGAACACTTTCGAGTCGAACCGAATTTTTGCTCATGTCTACTAGAACCTGTACATGTTCGGGTGGAACTGTGGGTCCGACTATCTGAGACGAGCCACGTCAAACCAACCCTAAACTTTGAAACCGCACATTTGAACCAGACCGCTGCCTGCCGGTTCGACTCAAACCCTAGAATGTACGAGTACAAAGGTTCGGCCCAAGCATAGAGGTTTTGACCAAAGTGAACAGGTTGGCTGGAGGGTAGAGTTGAGCATCTGGGCAAACCTGGTTCGGCCCGGGTCGTTCCGGCCCGGAAGTGCCCCGGGGCGAACCTGTAAGTTGTTGCTGACGGCCCAGGGCGGGCCGAACCTTCCCGGCTTGCCAAACCTGCGGCAGCCCGCTTTTAGCCCGTGGGGTTAGAGGCAGGCCGGGCAAGCCCGCCTTGAGGCGCGGTGATCTTGCATGAGACGAAACTATGAAAAAGGATAAATACGCAAGTGCACAATGCTAGGTGGTTGTCCCTGACAGATTTCCATCTCTAAAACCGCCGTTAAGTGTGAATAAATCGAAATTGCACCAGGGCCAGGCAGAGCTCGCCCTGGGTCGGGCCATACTAAGCCCGGCCAGGCCTTTCTTGGCCCAGAAACCCCCTGGGAGAATCCGGGCCGAGGTCTTGCTCCTTCGGCCCAGGGTGGGCCGGGCAGCCCAAAAAATAATCTGACTGCGCATCTCGTGTACACGCCAGGCATATGCTAAACGCTGAAGGGGTTAAGCGTTTATTCCAAAATAGGTACAAAAACAGTGTCCACAGGTGCAAAGCATGAAGAAACGCCTGAATGATGGCAGCTTTGGTAGGAATTTTTTTAAGATGGCACAAATTTGCCACCTATTTTCAGAAGTAATAGCTTATGTTCAAAGAATTCACAGGTCACGGAGAAACATATATATAGCTTTACGCGTGATTTGCATATTTTTAAGCTGAAACGAAGTGTTATGAAGCTGAAATTTTCTCACAAGGAACCAAGAGTTGAGAGCTTGCTGAAGGAGTCAGGGATTGTGCCAATCAGGCTGTTGTTGGCAAGGTACCTGATGAGGGATATGGTAGTGTTGGTGGTAAAACATACTGGATGCAACGCAACTTCTGGCGCTTGATAATAGGCATGATCACAAACCAGAACAGTACGGTCTGGGTAGAATCACCTTGGGACCTTTTCAATACTTGGCCCACTTACTGGTTCAGGTCGAATTGAAGCAGACCAGTTAGACCCAAACAGCTTGGACACAAACCGCGTGAGATCTGGATTGAATTTGTATATGGTTAAACCTACGCCTTCATGACTGACAGAAACATGACCTCCACCAGCCCTCGCTTGAGTTTGAATTTGGAGGATTTGGAGGCTAAATTTGAACCATCACGACCTCAATCAAGAGTGGCCAGTTTGACGCAGGTAAAAGAAACACGCCAAACCTTTGCATTGGTGTGGCTCAGTACCTAACTGTAGAGCAGCCAAACTGCTTCAAACACAACCCACAACGGATTCCCTCAAACCTCAAGGCAAAAACAAAAATCCAATGGTTCGGCACTTTGCTCATTGCTACTTCTCACTTTTTAGCATATATTGTCTTGTATCGTACAACTCCTCAAAGACGTTAAACATTAACATATTAAATAGCAGCACAATTCAGCTGATCAATAACATTTTTGTCAGGTCAAATATTGCTCAGTATGCACGCACTGACATCAATCCCTTCCTTGGAACGAACAAGGAAGAACAAGTGGTACCATCGTACAAGCGAGAGGGAGATTGCATGATCAACAACAGGGTATCTGGTTTGTGGTTAAGTAAGAGCGAAGACCGTGCTCTTAGTTTGCATACATAAGAAAGTCAGTGCAATCAAGCTCACTATTCAAGATCCATTACACAGGCTCACAGTTCAGTTAGAGCTGTAAGGCTGCCAATTCCCGATGGTATCGAGCCCAACAGGTTGTCTTTAGCAAGACGCCTACAAGGCACATAAGTTGCATCAACCCAACATGTAGAGTAGACAGTCAGCATGCATGCAGAGGTCCAAGAGAAGCTAGGTACCAAGTGCCCACAGACAACACAGCCTTCCGAATACACGTTGCTCATCTCCTCTTTCCTTGTCTGTCCATTTTGGGTGGGGGTTGAAATCAGGCATAAGAAGGACACCTGTTAAACACAACATATTTGATGGCAACACCTGCACATAGCTCATGGGTGCTTCCAACAAACGACGAGGTAGAGTTCAGCAGTGCCAAGATTGGGCATGCTGCGTGCATGTGGTTACACCACCCTCACATGCCAACCCAGCAACGACTAGTTCTCACAATCTAACGAGGTTTGAAAGCTTGGAAATAGTGTCAGGAATTGTTCCGGTCAGGCTGTTGTTGCTCAAGATTCTGATGAGAGGAAGGCATGCAATCAAATAAGGTGGGGACATACAGGGGAACAGATTGCATGTATAGATTTGTGTCTACTTTGATCGGACACTCTTTTGAAAAATAGCTTCATGGCTTGCATTTCTTGTGTTCGCCCTATGCTTTATGGAGATAAACCTAGTGTATTTTTTTAATAGACTGATAGATAGCAATGAGAATTTGTAGCAATTTCGAACGGGGTGTTGTACAAGGGAACACGATCTGCACACGACAAGTGAATGAAAGCTGCACAGTTCCTGCCAGCCAAAAGTGACCAAGCCATCCTCCCCCTCCTCATCCATCTAGAATTGTGGGCTACTACTGCCACTACCTGCCGCCGCAAGTATTAACTGGAATACTCGCAGAGCCAAGTGATCAACATTAGAAAAAGCAGTGTCGAGTCGAGTACCACTGCTCATGTCTAGTGGTGCTGAATGCCACATGTTACCACCAACTTGCCGCAATTTTTTAAACTGAGTGGAGTGCCTATCGACCAGGGTGGCACTCTTGAGGTGCTCCTCCAAATCTTACCGGCGAGGATAAACTCGCCTCATTAGGGGCCAGTCTCATGCAAGTTTTGCTGTGGGCCAAGCTAAACGTGCACGAGTCTTTTCGCCAAAGCGTAAACTTGTCACTCGTCTCGAGTTTTACCAAAAATCGTCCGAGATTTTAAAAAAGCGCATGCGAGTGCGATTGGTTACCCCTAGTACCCTGTCTTTTAAGACAGGAATGCGATGGGCTATACGCTGGTGCTAGGTAGGGTTGGGCACGAGGGCGGGCTGGGCCTGGCCCGGGTCGGGCCGGCCCGAACCTGGCCCCGAACCTCTAAGTTGGGCGCCGGGCCGTCGGCAGCCGGGCGGGCCAGGCTGGCCCGGCCTGGGTTGTTCGTGACCTAGACTTGTTTGCCACTCTAAGACGGGCCCAAAAAACAATGTACCTATAACGAAAGTGTACCCGGGCCAGGCCGATCCCGGCCAGGGTCGGGCCATACGCGGCCTGGGTCAGGCCATTTTGGCTTGGTTACCCCCTGGGCCAACACGGGCCGAGGTTTAGCTCATTCAGGCCGGGGCGGGCCGAGCCCGGCCCGTGCTCAACCCTAGCACTGGGTTAGGTTGCTTTCAGAGGGATCTGAATCTGAAAGTGATGGTTGGGTTCGTCGATTCCGTGCGGTTCAGTGGTAAGTGGTGGCAAATTGGTTGGGAAGTCAAGCGGGAAATCTGTTCGCTTTTCACGACCAGAGGGAGGAATCGATTTAGGGCGTATTCCTGGCTTCGTGTCATCCCGAATCGTTTTTCCGAACCACGGGATTTCCGACTAGACCTTCGGGTCATCCGATTTTGGTTTGGGACGTGGCGATCTTCGGCGAACATCGTAGACAAGACCACGTTTTTCTCCATAGAAAAGTTCGCGGAGCTGCAAGGCAAAAGCAATTATCTTGCAACAAAGTTACACTCGATTTGCTGTGCAATATTGCACATTCCAGGCTCTTGCACAGTCGCATTCACTCGCCAGCCTCAGCTAGCGATTTCAACACCCCACTTACGAGAGCTGCGATTTCGGGTAGCCAGGTAAATTTCCGTTGAAAAAAAATGCGCACAGGTTCAGCTTGCCGACACGAGCTGCTGTAATAAACAAATTGTTCCCATTTTTTTGGGTGAATATTTTAGCTGATAACATGAAGCCAGGAATACGCCCTTAGTGATTTACAAGTCGTCACACAATCAGTGGTGGACACAATTATCTGCACAGAGAAATCGCCGATGTGCGCGAATCGGCGGGCGAAACCATCGATCTGCATGCTCAACGAGTGAAAAAGGCTCGCGTGAGTCTGAAAAAACACGTGCAAAGTGCGAGGGGTTTTCAAAACTCACCGAGTTTTGCTTGGCTGAGCTAGGGCCAGCTTTTCCGGCAAAAAACAGGACTTGTCACTCTCTTTGTGACGAGTTTTCCTGACGAGCAGAAACGAGAAACTCACCCTGTTGCCCATAAATATCCAGGATGGACAAGTGTGTCTTTGTACTCACAGGTATGTCAGGCCCAGGTTGGCCCAGGATTGACAGGTGTGCCTTCGTACTCACAAGTATGTCAGGCCTGTCAAACGTCCAATCGTGGATGGAATGGATCCGGTGAAATTATTGCTGTGCAGATTTCTGGCAAAGGATGGGGAGGTAACAAATAGTAGTGCGCTGCTGAATGTATTTTGCATTGATATGATAAGGAAGCAGCTGGTTCCAAAAAAGATGTGTTGGTGACAGTTTTCAAGAGAAATAACGAGTTGAATTTTCAGTTGAATCAGAAGTCAACCTGCATTGATAAGCAATCAGCAGGTTCCAAACAGGATGACTTGATGATGGAACAAGAGATATAACTTTATGTTGTCGGATAGATATGGATATGGGTGGTGAAATCATGCGATACATAGATAGATACGAAAGAGTAAGAAATGAGGTCCAATCATCCAGCTCTTGGTTCGAGAGGCTCACAAGATGAGCAAATGCTTCAGGTTGCTGATTGTTTCTGGTATTGTGCCATTCAGACGGTTTTTATGAGCATATCTGCATCACATTCCACGGGGATGTGAAAGAACAGAGATGAAAAGGTTGACATGCATGTAGTTGCCTCAACGGCAAGCCTTTATTGATAACACGGGTTGCTGGCGGGTTGCTGGCGGGTTGCTGGCAGGTTGCTTGCAGGTTGCTGGCAGGTTGCTGGCAGGTTGCTGTATGCCGGCTTGACTTGTCGCAACAATGTGCTGACCCGAAAGGTTGAGGCACGGTTCGGCCCTTTTCTGAGGCCTCGAGCCTACTACGTACCTACTATGTACAGTGCCATCGATGCAATGTTCAAGGGTGCAATAAGAAGATTGAACATTTTCAATAAGGGTGCCACAAGGTATGACCTGAGCAGTAGTCATAGTCAAACATGCTTGGCTCAAACATTTTTAAACAGTCCAAAAACTCAAACCGGGCATGTTTGGCTTCATTCGAACATGTTTGGAAAATTGGACCACAGAAGCCGCATCAGATACCCACACAAATGTGGAAGTCGAAATCAATCACTTTGGCATCAGAAGCACCTATACGGACACCTCCTCTCCCCCCCCTTCCCTTCCCCCAGTACTGGAAAATTCTTCATCCACTTTCTTCGCTTAACCAAATGCTCGTCGAATCAGAGGAACACAAGGAATGCATTCTTCAAGTCCGAGAATACACATGTGAGCTGTGTTTAGGGTGTAAACATGAGCAAAGAACCGAATCTCATTTCGGTTCGGCCGAACTAGAGTCAAGGGAGTCTGAGTACCAACATCGAACTTGAACCTTGGCCCCATCCATTTCGGCTCGACTAGAACCGAACAGGTTCTGTTTGACTAGAAGGCAGGCTCGATAAGGTTCAACTTGACACTATGATTTTGGCTCTTGCTTGTGTCCAATAATCCATAGGGCTCACATTCAGTCAATCCATAATCAAAATTTAATGGGAATGGCAGTCACACTGAGGAACGGCACTCACAAGACACGAAGGGAAGTAATTTTGGTGAAGGAGTCGGGAATAGAGCCTGATAACTGGTTGCCATGAAGGTACCTGCCGACGCAACAATGGTTCGAGATGGAGGGCATACATGCTGTGAGAGCAGTGTATGCAGTGAGAGTGGTACATGCTGTGAGAGCAGCGCATGTGGTGAGAGTGGTACATGCAGTGCGGGCAGTGCATGTGGTGAGCACTGTGAGAATAGTACACGCAGTGAGGGCAGTACATGCAATGAGGGCAGTACATGCAGTGAGGGCAGTACATGCAGTGAGGAGAGTGCATGCGGTGAGAGTAGTCGGACTTGAACTTTTTCTCCAGAAGCAAGGTTCGACTGTCCGAGTTTCTGGACTAACAGTGTTGAGTTCGAGCCGAACACCAGGCCCCCTTTACTGTAGTCTAAACATGAGCAACTGGCCGAACCTTGGTTTGTTTCGACTGAACCAATTCGACCACTTGTCGAACCGAATCATGGATGTGAGTAGAATGTTCGGTCGAACTGTTCGGGCGAATTTTAATCATTCTCCCACGTTGAACAGTTCAGCGCTGCAAATTGGCCGCGATGAGCCTCACGGGGTTCATCGCCGCTAGAAATTTCCCTCACACGGCATTCCCTTTCTTCAACCGTTAAAAAATGGGAATCTGTTAGGCTGTCCTTTTACAGCAGCCAACTTCACGTCTAACTAAATTAGACTAACTACCCTAAAGGGTTATATTTATAAAAACACTCCTATCCCTCTCCAGTCGCTTCCTCCAGAAGTTTTGGTGCTGTTTTATGCTTGTGTACACACCTCCCATGACGCTAAACCACGACCAACATGTTTACCATACACAAACCGCGCGGCAGATATGTGTTGTTCAGGTGACAATGACGAATCCAGCAGTCAGACCGAACAAGGTTCGAGTTTGGTCGAACCTTGTTAAGGTTCGACTGAACTTCTGCAGTTTTGCCGGGAACGTTTTTTGTTCAAAACAGGTGTTCGTGTGTGGGTGGTCACAGGCGAACACTTTAGGGTTTGCCACGAATCCCCAAGTGTTTGCTTCCATGGACCTGATTCACTACAGAGCAGTGACATATCGCGGCATTTAGAGACGTTTCGCGTTGCATAGTTGAGATTTGAATTGTCGCGCATTGTTTGTGTTAGGCTTGAGCAAAATCTCGAACACCTGTTCGTTCGAGGCGAACCGAACTATTATTTTTTTTTCGCCTAATTCGTTCGGGGCGAACATGTTCGGTGTTCGGCCGAACATGTTCGCCGTTCGCCACCTCCATTTGGCGAAGGAAAGACGAACACGAACACGTTCGTGTTCGATTTGGGGGGCAGGCGAACACCAAAGTGTTCGCGTCAAAATTGGCCGCGACCAAATTTAGGTCGCGGCCGTTTTGAGTTTGAGCTTATTTCTTGAGCTCAGACTCAAAACGACTTTGGCGCTTAGCCCTCCCTCCTACAACCGCAATAGCCTTGCGGTTTCAAGAGCCATCCACACCGTTCCTTAACTTTTACACAGACATTTCATCTAAGTAGTTAATAGTGTAGGGTAATTTCAGAAACACTAAGGGTTGGTAGCTACGGGATCAAGCTTTTTGCTATCATCCTGAACCTTCAAAATCGCTTTCTGACCTGTATGCCTATATCGAATATTCCCCTGGGCGAACACGAACATGTTCGCCTCGAACATGTTCGTGTTCGCCTGCTGCAGCAATTCGTTCGCCTCCTAGGGCGAACGGCGAACACCAATTTTCGCCCAAGTCGTTCGCCGAACCGAACACTGTTCGGTTCGGCAGAAGTCGATGTTCGAGAGGGGGCAAACTCGAACATGTTCGAGTTCGCCCCCTGCTCATCCCTAGTTTGTGTCGCTGAGCTGGTTTCGTATACTTTTCCCAACCAGTCCATCCCACCCAAAACCCACCTTATTGCAATGCACCACCCAAACCCAGTCCAATGTCTTTCTTCTGTACTGCCACATCTACGCTAAATTTTTTATTCGCGCGCTTGATTTAACTCACCTCACATTCAACACTGCCAAATTTCGGGCAAACAAGGTGAATGTCTGGAACGTGTTCGCCACGATTCGTGACGAACCGAATTAGGGTTCGCTATATTGCTTAAGCATTGTTCAACATGTTCGAGTCGAACCTTGAAGGTTTGACCCGAACATTTTTGGCAAAAGAAGAAAAAACAGTGTTCAGTTCGACTCGAACCGAACCGAGTCGAATCGAACAGGGGTTTGAGATTTTTCTCATGTGTAGGTGAGAGAAGGCTTGAGCAAAATCTCGAACACCTGTTCGGTTCGCCTCGAACATGTTCGAGGCGAACCGAACTATTTTTTTTTTCGCCTAATTCGTTCGGGGCGAACATGTTCGGTGTTCGGCCGAACATGTTCGCCGTTCGCCACCTCCATTTGGCGAAGGAAAGACGAACACGAACACGTTCGTGTTCGATTTGGGGGGCAGGCGAACACCAAAGTGTTCGCGTCAAAATTGGCCGCGACCAAATTTAGGTCGCGGCCGTTTTGAGTTTGAGCTCATTTCTTGAGCTCAAACTCAAAACGACTTTGGCGCTTAGCCCTCCCTCCTACAACCGCAATAGCCTTGCGGTTTTAAGAGCCATCGCACACCGTTCCTTAACTTTTACACAGACATTTCATCTAAGTAGTTAATAGTGTAGGGTAATTTCATAAACACTAAGGGTTGGTAGCTACGGGATCAAGCTTGTAGAGGTCAATTCTCTAGTTGTAGGGGCGGGCATTTCTCCTTCAAAATCGCTTTCTGACCTGTGTGACTATATCGAATATCCCCCTGGGCGAACACGAACATGTTCGCCTCGAACATGTTTGTGTTCGCCCGCTGCAGCAATTCGTTCGCCTACTAGGGCGAACAGCGAACACCAATTTTCGCCCAAGTCGTTCGCCGCACAGAACACTGTTCGGTTCGGCAGAAGTCTATGTTCGAGAGGGGGCGAACTCGAACATGTTCGAGTTCGCCCCCTGCTCATCCCTAGGTGAGAGTAGTGCATGTGGCGAGAGTGGTGCATACAGTGAGAGGTGAGATTGATGCATGTAGTGGAACATGTTGGACATGTCATTGAGACGACAAAGGGATGGATGAACAGTCTCTGGAAAAGTGACATTGCTTAAAAAAAATGGTTAGGATAAATTGCTTCTTACAGCCAAACAAAATGTATGTGCCCAATCACGCAGCTTCGAGAAAAATAAGAATACAGAAAGCAGAAGGATTCTCGGATGCATTGTAACATCAGAGCATTGTACAGCAAAGCATTGCTGAACCAATCACAGCTAGAAAGGGCACTCATGGCTTGATGAGCAGGCGGAGAGGTAGCCGAGTAGAATTAAATCCTTGGAAAATATACAATGTGAGTGTAACAGTCATCCAGCCCTACCATTCAAGAAGCTCACTCACAAGTCTGTAATACCAGGAAGATTGCTCAGTCCAGGTAGTATAGGACCGGTAAACTGGTTGCTATGGAGATTTCTGCAATTTGTAAATTAGGGAGGTGTGATGTGAAGAGAGCAGATTCAGAAAAGGAATGTCGAGTTACGCTTCTCTCGACCCTAGTTATGGTGATACCAGGCAGGGAGAAACTGGTTGTCATCAAGTGCACAG